AGCACAGTCACTTTGTAAAATACCTGGCATGATCTGGTAAATTTGGAAACGTCTTGGTAACAAGTCCACTCCAAGGTATAAACACTGGAACACAGCTTCCCAGCAATTCTATCCTACGGCCTACACAGAAAATCATCCTTGTATGGTGCAGAAGAGTAAGAACACAAGGCCGCTCAGGGCAAGACTCAGCAGGTCCAGGGGCTGCTGTCTGGCTTCTGGCTACATCCAGGGCTACGGGCCCCAGTGTCCCAGCACAAAGGTTGGAAAGCTCTGGCCTGCAGGACTCTTGTACACGTTTAGCAGGAAACACACCCTAGAAGGTTTATAGTAGCACTGTGTATAATATCTGCTAAACTGGAAACAACACAAATGCTCATCACCGTACAATGGATATACAGATTGAGATACAGTTGATCATTATTACACACAGATTCCATATCTACATATTCGTCTACTTGCTAAACTTTATTTATAACTCAAAATCAATACAGGCACACTTTGGGGGTCATTCACAGACGTGTGCACAGCAGGGAAATATTTGAGTCACTCAAAGCACAAGTGTGTTCCCATCTGAGATCAAAAAAGGAGAAGTTCTGCCTTCTTGTTTCAGCTCTCATACTGTAAGCAAGAGTCCTCTTCTGGGTCTATTTAGTACCACATATTCCATATTTTGTGCTTTTTATTAGTGATTTCACCATTAAAAATGACCCCAGGCATGTACTTAAGTGCTGTCTAGTGCTCATAGAGCAAAATGGCTAGGATGCACCTTATGGAGAAAATATATGTATTAGATAAGCTTTGTTCAAACATGAGTTATAGTGCTTGTTGGCCATAATTTCAATACTATTGAATCAACAATATGTAAAAAATAAGGTGTTTTTAAACAGAAATACACATGAAACAAGGTTATATATTGATAGACTGATGAAAATCTTGTGATGACAGGATCACAGGAACTTCACCCTGTATTTCCCCTAGGATCAATGTTTCAAGATTGCCTCCTTCAGTGTTTGCAGTGACTTTTTAGAACATCAATATCATGATAATGAGAATCAACTTTGTATTTACTCAGTGAAATCACACCAAACAATGATAATGGACACTTGCTTAATATATGCAATAACAGGGATAAATATGTTACACAATAGTGTGTGGGAGAAGTGGAGCACAATATAACTTATCCCACATATACAAAGAGAAAAAGATGCATATTGTTAGGAATATGTAATTAGGAATATATTGTTGGAAATATATTTTTGGTAATATGTAGATATGTAGAAAACAACTAAAAGAAAAGAAAGGCAATGAAGAAGACAGGTTCAGAATAAAGGTTACTCCTCATGAGGCTGAAGGGAATAGGATCAGAAGGGAGACCACAGGGGACATGAAAAGTGAGATTTCTGTGTAGAAAAACACTTCCATAAATGCTTGCTGAAGGAATAAATAATGGGTAAACCTGGAACTCTAGCACTGACATATCCCTAGAACCACAGAAGGAACTTTCATTTTTCCCTATTATTTTATTTTATTTTTTATTTTTTGACACAGGGTTTCATTTTGTGGTCAAGGCTGGAGTACAGTGATGTCATCAAAGCTCACTGCAGCCTCAAAATACTGAGCTCAAGTGATGCTACCACGTTGGGTTCCAAAAGTGCTGAGATTAAAGCATGGGACACCGAGCCCACTCAAAAATTTCTGAATGAAATCTGCATGTCCTACGCCAGTACCTCAAACTTGGCTAGATTTTAGTCAAAAAACTAAACCCGTAATTTCCAACCTAAACTTGCTCGACTTCCTACATCCCTGTCCTACTGATCACCCCACCAAGCAGTCACTCAAAACAGGAATGTTAGTGGTCCTCGACTCCTGCCTCCCTGTGGTGGCCATGGAAATGTGCCCTTCAGATCTCCTGCTGCAGGGAACAAAGCTGATTGACAGACCCCCGCTGCCACTTCTCTGGATCCACCACTGAGTTTGCCCCAAGACAAGGCTTCCTCTGGGAGCCTCCCAGCCAGTGACGGAGCATGGCAGGGTTATGTGGCTGCAGGACAAGGACTTCTGAACTGACAGCTGTGGCTGGGGACTTCACATCTGTGCAGCCGAATCTTAGTTAGAACTAAACTCCATATGAGATTCCTAGCCGACCCTACTTCTCCCATGTCTCTCATGGATGTGACAGTTGTGTTGCCCACAAGACTCTCCCCACCTGCTTCTGCTCCTTCCCCTTTATCATTCAACAGCATTTGCCCTATAATAATCCTCCCCATCCAATCACATCGTGGCCTCTATATTTTTGGGGGACTGAATTAACAAAGAAGGTCCCAGTAGTGGTCTGAGAAAAGACAGCAAGCAGTAAGAGGGGCTTTATGGATGGGCCCACTCACCTCCAGAATGACAAAGAGGATGCCATCCTGAGTGATATGTGGAGTATGGATGATCTCTAGCACCAGGTGAGCTACGGATAGCTTAAGGTTTCACCCTCAGTCACTCATGGTAAACATCCCAGTGGACGGTCTCACCTTTGTCGACAAGAAGATTCGGGCCTTTGAACAGGATGGAGGAAAGAATGTCTACATAAATGGTGGAGTTAGCTGCCGATGTCTAAATCTATTGACGCCCTTTGGAGACGTAATGAGAAACTATGGGATGTCACTGAACAGTTCAGGGCTGGGTGTAAGACCCAGAAGGCCTCTTTGGTTGCTTCCAAGAAGAGCCTCACCTCTTGCAGAAGACGAGCAGACACAACTGAGGAGCACCACATCAACATAATTTGATAGCAAATGACGGAGAACTCCAGAGACAATGGCACCCTCAAGCAACACAGGCCTGTTATGCGAAGGTCAGGGCCCTGTTTGGAGAAACCCAGTCACCTGAACTACAGGATGGAGATAGCTGGATGGAGTGTGAAGGGTGAGCCTTCCTGTCCTAGCAAGAGCTACCCCGGGCCACATGCTGGTAGGGTGCTACACAGCCCTGGCCCCCACAAAGCCATGGGTGCCTCCCTCAGGGGCTGCCCCATATGCTCTCTGTCACCTCGCTGGGTGATGCTGAGCCAGATAAAGGGAGAACAGTGATTATATGCCAAGCAAGAGATAGCCTGTACAGGCAGGAGACAGGGAAATACTCCTGGGAATGGATTTTGAGAGTGCTGGATCAAGGGTCTGGAATATATGACTACATAAGAAAGTCTACTCGACTACAGGCACTTTCTGGTGTCGTGGGATTTAACACCCTTGCAGATACGTTTTGCAGTTTTAGGAGGCTCAGCTCTAAGCACGAACTCCATGAAGCCCGTCTGCCTGGTTTCCGACCTGCAGCTGACACCCACCGGCCAAACGAATGACCTTGGGCAAGTCCTGAACCTCTCTGTGCCCACTTCTCCACCTGTAAGAAGGTGGCAATAGCAGGCATTTCCACCTAAAACTGTCCCGAGGATGAGTTAACATATAGTGATAAGGCCCAGAAGAGAGCCAAGCACATAGTGAATGATGCATAAGTTGAGTTTCATGGATCCTGCCAAATTACCCTCCCAAGTGGCTGCCTTCTCCCTTTCCCCCAGCAAGTGAGCAAATGCACTGGTTTGCTCAGGACCTCTCCTACCCCCAGAATGGTTAAGCTCTCTAAGAGTCACAAACCTGCCATGTGAAAATTGAGTTTTGATTTTAGTTTGCACCTTTAGGGTGAGTGATGGTGAGCGTCTTTGGGGTATCCTAGACCATTGGTTGGACTTCCGGCTTCGTTGAATAAACGACAGCAACAGCGGGTTGGGGGAGGCTGGGAGAGGTGGGAAAACTCTGGCCTGCCAAACCACCACACCCACATGCCAATCAACCCTTGTAGGCACACAACCTTGTGCCGATTTGATCACCTACTCTAAGAAAAAGAAAAAAAAAGGTATCCAAATTGGAAAGTAAAAAGCTCAATTATCTCTGCTGCAGATGACATGATCTCACATAGAAAAAACCCTAGCGTACACTGCACCAAGAAACGTTTAAAACCAGTAGACAAACTTAGTAAAGTTGCAGAATGGAAAAGCAAAATGCGAAAATCACTGGCATTTCTATGCCCTAACAACAAACTATCCAAAAAAGATAGATGGGAAACCAACGTATTTAGAATACCAGGAAAAGAACAAAACCCTTCGGAATACATTTATTCAGGGAGGTGAAAGGTGTGCATAATGAAACCGACCAAACACTGATGGAAGACTCAGAAGACAAATAAATGGGGACACATCCCGTGCTCATGGTCTGGAAGATGGTTAACACGTCTGTGCTACCCAAAGCCATTACAGTTTCAACGCCGTAAGTCCCCAGGAAAATGACAAAGGGGTTTTTCCCAGCACTAACAGAAACAACCCTGAAACTTCTGTTTCTTGACTGTGGGCCTCCTTGTCCATGTTCCTATCGGGCGCTACCTCTTGGTCTGGAAGGGAGGCTTGAAGCTCCTCTGTGCACCGGGTGATTGGCGTGCATCATGACATTTACTCTCCCAAGCTGATGAGCTGGGGGCGGCTCTCTCATTGACCCCTGCCTTACAGATGGGACACTGGGGCTCAGAGACGTGTCTCTCATTGGAAAGTATGTGCCTGGCCGCCAGAGGCGGCAGGACAGGAAAAAAGAGATGGATGGAGAGCTCCAATGCGCCCTGGCCCCAAGAACCTACCGGAGTGCAGCCACCCAGTCAAATGACAGGCGTCGGGGCAAACCAAGAGCCAGTGTCCGGATGGTTACAGCCCAGAGGCCCCGCCAAACAAAGGGAGCTCTTGTTGACAGAGGGTGGACCAATGAGAAGGCACGGTGCGGGCGTTGAGGGTGCACAGAAGCCACCGCTGTCTGGACATCTCCTACTGCCGCCTGAGTGAGGACGGCGGTGACCTGCAGGCCTTGCTGTTCCTGTCGCGTGGCCCCCTTGGTTGGGCTTGGCTGGGCTTGGCTCTTCCCTCCCACTGTTACCAGGACGACCATCTCCGCACAGCCCAGGCTGCCCGGACAGGCTCCATGAGCTCCCCAGACTAGGTGTCCGTTTGGGGGGCCAGTTTCAGGTCAGAGGGTGGCGAGCAGGCTGGCACCTGCACGGCCACTTCAGGAGCCCCTTGGGGCCACGGGAATGTCCACGGCCTCGATTTGGGGGTGCTGCACAGCAGCAAGGGCGAGGGTGAGGGCAAGAGCGGGTTCACAGATCCCGAGGGCTTCAGCTTCAAGTGTGAGAGCAAATTGACAGAGCAGGGGAGGGTGGTGCTCTGGGGCTGGGAAGGCCGGCCTGACACCCCAGTAGACGACCAAGGGGACTGTGTGGACTACTCGTCCTACCTGACTGACGAGCCAGCTGCCATCGTGCCGCTGCCCAGCATCCAGGGACACATGTCCTCAGAAAGCACAGCTGCCAAAGGGTCCACTGACATTTGGGCGGACCTGGAGGCCGGCCCTCTCCACCTCAGTGGTCCTGGGCCAGGCCCGGCCTGGGAGAATCCAGAAAAGGGGCTAGAAGAGTAGATGGAGAATCGGCGTAGATCCCCAGCAGCCCTCGGCGAAAGACCCCTCGGGGCCGTCTACCCACGTGTCTGATTCCGCAGAAGAGAGCAGCGGCTTACCACTGATGAGGGTGGGCATTCGCCGCAACGAAGGAAGCCAGGCCAAGCCCGGCAGCCCCAAGAAGGCAGCAGACACATCCAGACACGTAGGCTTCCACTGCAAGGAGAGTTACCTGCCCGTGCCGGGCCGTTTCCTGACCTCTGCTCCCCGCGGACTCACTCCAGTCGTGGAGAGGCCGGCTGTGGGAGAGCTGGAGGACTCTCCCGGAAAGAAAATACAGAGCAGGACCTGGGGAAAGGTGGAGGCCAGGCCCAGCTGCTCAGGAGCTGCCACTGCAGGGGCCCTGCCCCAGGGCCTTTCAAGGAGGAAGATGGCCCAGGGGAAGAAGTCCCCAGGAGGTGCCTCTCAACTGGCTCCGGGGAGAGCCTTTCCTGCCTGCGGAAAGAGACTCTCAGCTGCTCCCCCGGAGCCGGCCACCTTCCCGCCATTCTCTGGTGTGGGGACACACGGGATGTCCAAGAAACCCCAAAAGCCTAAGCACAGCAACCCTGGGAAGAAACCTGCAGGAAGAAAGACCAGGGAGTCCCAGGCTGTGGCCAGAGAAGATAATGACCCAAATAGAGATGCAGTCCCAAGGGTCCACGGGAGTAGGCCTTGGGACTTGTCGCCCTCCTCTCCCTCTTCACCCTCCTCCTCTTCTGTCTCCCCCCACGCCTCCTCTCTTCCAGCACACACCTGTTTACCCATGTCCCCTCTGTCCCTTGCTCGAGGGTTGTCATCAGGAGCCCAGGGACACTGGAATGCCCAATCGTAGAGGCACACGTTAAGGGGAGCACTTGGTGTGTGATGGGCATGCCTTCGGACACTCTGCAGGGGTTCTACTCCCTCCTCCATGGAGGAGCTGGGAGGGAAGGCAGGGCTGGCAGCTGGTTTGGATGAGGTGACCCCTTAAAGTGTGGGCTGCAAAGCTGGGGTGTCTAGGATCATCAACTTCGTGATTCCTCCTTCCCTAGCTGTTGCCCGACCCACCTGGCAGGCGGCCCGGGCTATCTCAGTATCCCCAGTGTTTTCCCTGGCTGGGCTCTGCCTCCTGGCCTGGGACTGAGAGAGAAAGTGCTAATGAGATTAGGCTCCGAAGTCTCCATCTTACCACAATCCCTCCCCACCTGTACTCACTGCCCGCCCCCACCGCCAGCCTGACTCAGACATTTCTGTTTTAGCTTCCCACACACAGGCCAGGGCTGCCTCGCCTGTCTGTGCATCATGGAGAATTCAGCAGTGGTGACCCCAACATCAGAGCTCCCCAACTTCTGGGACGTTCAGAGCCCTCTGCCTACAGCCTGGGAGGCCTCCTGCCCACACGCCACGCACCCTCCGGTGAGTCTTGCGGATTTGATAGGGGTGGAGGGGAGAGGGGTCGGGAGGGAAACCTCTGGCTCTGTCGCTTATGGGGGCTCAGCCTTGTTCCCAGGCTTCCCTGCCCACCCAGGCAGCTGTCCCACGGGAAACGGGGTGTCGACAGGACTGGCTTTAAGCCACATCCTCCTCTCAGTGGGGTTTGTGTGGTAGGGGGCAATTTGGAGCAGCGCCCCAAACTCCAACTCTGGAAGGAGACTTTCAGTGGTACGGAGCCCTTTTCTGTTAAGTCCTGCTCAGCCACACTGGCCCTCCCAGGGCCTGGCTGTGGCTGCCGCGCTGCTGGAGTCCAACTCAGAGTCACAATGCTAGGGGGCCACAGGTACACATGGGCTTACACTGGGAAACAGTGAAGACAGTCCCAGAGGGAGGGTTGGAGTTGCTGGGCAGAGCATGGGCAACGTGTTGCCAGCAGAGGGTGACGGTGCTTCACTTTAGACCCTGCTAGGCCTTTTCTACCTCACTGGGAGGCTTGGAAGCTGGATTTTGTGTTCTCTTTCAGGTGACCAGCAGCCACCTGTCCATTCTCCAAGACCAGAAAGGCAGCAGCAGCCCCCGGGAGCCCAGGACTGTCCTTGGGTAATGTTTTGTGTGGCTCTTAGAAATAGAGGTCCACACTAGATGGTGGGATCCGTGTCCAGGTTAAACTGACTTCTGCGTCCCCCTACCCCCCGCCTCCACCTTCCACTCCCCATGGAGAGAGGATGCCTCCTTTCCATTGAGGATTCTGTGCCAACCCACCTCACCACTGGGCTGCAGGCTATGGGGGCTGTACGGCCTGGGGGAGAGAGGGAGTCCGGAGAGAGAGCAGGCCAGAACTGACTAACCATTTATCTTCCTCTGGTGTCTGCCAGTCTAGTGCATCCAGCTGCAGAAGGAAATTGAGGACCTTACACAGCAATTAGGTATGACAGAGCCCTGGCCGGGGCAGGGATGGACAGCAGTGTCTTTCTGCAGGCGTAGGGGGCGGGGGTGGGCTGCAGGTACAGGCGGCGTCACTGGGACTGACTTTCCTCTGCGGAAGAGAACCAAGCAAAGCCTGGCCCTGGAGCCTTCTGTGCCTTTCCAGCTAGGGGTGTGCACAGACAGCAATGTGTTGTCTGAACTCCGTGTACACTTGGTCCACAAGTCACAGAGATCTCCTTCTCTTAGGACGGTTAGAGATACCACATGTGTTTTCCCTTTAACTGCTGCCTGGTATGGCTTGTATGGATTTTTGCTTACTGGCTGACTTATCTGTCTTTGAAACATGTTCTGAACGGTTCTGGGATGCCCCAACACCTGAGAACCACTTTCCCACTTAGAAGGCATTTCCACATTTAATTCAGGTGATGGGTGGGTGAGTCAGTCCCAGGGCTGGTGGGATTTCGCATTGCAGAGCTAGGTGGTTCCCCACAGGGGCAGGGGGTGGTTTTCTGTTTCCCCGGGTCTGGAGTGCCCGGTTCTGCCTCTCTGTTTCAGCGGCCATGCAGTTCCTCACTGACAAGTTCCAGAGCCTTCGAAGTGAGTGTGGCACACACCATGCCCCTTCCCACAATCCTGGTAGCTTAGGAGGGCTGTAGGCTGGCCCTGGCTGGTAGCCCATCCCTGAGCCTGCTCTGTTTCACAGGTTTGAGCCAGCATCTTCCTAGAAGACGAGCAGCTGGTACCTTTGGAGTTCTGGAGCTGCAGCCAAGCAGGTTCCCTCCGTATCCTCTTCAGCCAGGGCTTTCGCTCTTCCACTGCATTTGCACACTTCCCAATGCAGTTCAAAGCAGTTTGAAATAAAGTCATTCTCATATTCTGTGGTCTGTGATCTGCCCTCTGCGACTGTTGGGAGTGTTGGGGGATTCAGTGTGTTGCTCCCTTCCCTGACACTTGAAGGACAGTTCCCCTGGCGCTCTGTGGTGGGCCCACTCCTTGCGGGGCACCTGGGTTGGCCTCTGAGCAGCAGCCCTGCACTCGGGCTCACCACAGAGCCGTGGGTCTAGGTGCTGTGGGGGCCCTGCCTGGCCACAGCAGCATTTCCTGCCTTTTCCTTACATGCCCTGCTCATGTCCCTCCTCTTCTCCTCTTACTTCAGGGTCTCACAAGTCCCCTTCTTCAGCGCTATCCTTCCTCCACTTCTCCAGGAACTGATGGCCTCCTAGAACCCTGGTCTTTCTCTCTTTTTCTCCTGCAGTTCACTGTCTCAGTTTTGCCCTGTCACCGTCCTTTCCATCATGAACGTCCTTGCTCTCCCCTGTGGCTTGACGCCGGTGGCCTTTCCTGCATGGTGGTTTCCGTGCTGTTGAGGAACACGTTGGAGCTTATCCTCCCACTCAGGAGACCAGTCCTCTTTCTGGAGCCATTATGTCCCACTGGTGCCACCACACACATGGTCAGGTCATCTGGGCCAGAAACCAGGTAGCATCCTCAGTTCCTCTTAGCCCTCATATTTGAACCTCAGTTACCAAATCCCATCAGGTCTCCTCCTTAGTTTCAGTAGCCAGGTGGAGACACAAGCCACATCCCAGTGGGTGGCTGAGCAAAAGGGAAGGTACGTGGAGTGCCGAAGAAAAGGGCAGGGTAGTCTCTTGGTTAGAGGTGGGGGCACTGAGTCTGTTCTGGTGCCTGCAGGCCAACCTTGTAGAAATTGCCCGCTGGCAGCTACACGGAAGGTGGAGTCCTCATCCTTGGTGTCCTATAGGTGGCCAACAGCCCCTTCTCCAGCCAGTCGACTCCATACCCTTGATTTGAAAATGGCAAGGGTGGTGTGGATACTAGGCAGGGCAAGTGTGGATGCTAGGCCCGGCTGTTCTTTGATGGTCCCTGTCAAATACTGTTCCACCACTCGCAAGGCCTCAGGTTTTTGTGGACGTGATATTTCTGCATCCCTGATCAGTCTTTCAGATTGCCTCTCGAGGTTACACGAGATTTCCTCGAGTTCCCTGTTCTGCCTTCACCCTCCCTGACAGTTGAGATCGCCTCGTTCCTTCAGCCGGCATCCTGGGCTGGGCAGGCCCCAGATTTGGTCACAGATTCCGGTTCCAGTGAGGAGGTGTGGGTAGGTTCTGCCAGCTCCCATCACCAAGAGACTGGATGTTGAACAGATGAAGACAATAGAAATGCAGATACCATTCAAGGTTAGTGTGTGTGTGTGTGTGTGTGTGTGCGCGCGCACGTGCACGCACGCACCTGCTTGAGCATGCCCTTGCAAGCACCCGCTTGGGAATCAAATTAATCATGGGTGCTGTCCTTTGAGGGAGAAAGGGCTGATTGACAGAGTGGAGGCAGTGGTGAAGGATACCTGAAGGATGGAATGCACAAAAGCAGGGCTGGGGTTCACTTTTTACAAGAGATGTTGTTCAATTCTAACACCTAGAAGGCTGTGGAGTAGGATGAATGGGACATCCCCAAACACAGGGACAGGTGTTGGGGCTCTCAGAATGCTGGAGGTGCCACAGTAGGCTCCCGATCCTCCGCGGGATGGATGGGATGTCTCAGCACTCCCGTGTGTGGGTGCAGTGATAATACTTCAGAGTCGCTGGTTGGTGCCTCATCTAGGAATTGGGGAGCTCCCATGGGAGGGTGCCCCAATGCCAGCGAACAGAGACACGGGCAGGTCGGACAGTGAGGGTGGAAAGTGGGGAATCGGGACTGCCCCGGGACAGCTGGTTGGGTTCGGTATCCGCCTTCCCCCATACTCTCTCTGTGTCTCCCTGCCAGGCCCGTGGTGTGAGCTCAGTGAGGGGGACCGTCACACATGCGGTGGGCCAATCACAGGCCTCAGACCTGGAAACGAACGGTGGTGGGGACCTACGCTATCCACCTCAAATCCCTAGCCTGAGATGGTTGGCTTGATTCCTCGGGCCAAGGCTTTGATCCTGACACAGATGGTTGTTTCTTGGGAGGATAACACAGCGGGGTGGGCTCTGGAAAGGAAGTCTGTCAGGAACTCTCCAGCTTGGGTTTTTGCCACCGGGGACATCTATGCAGGTTCTGGTTGGGTGAGAACTCCAGCCCCAGACACTGGCCCGGGGGCCATGGGCCATGGTCGACAGGGTGTGGAAGGGGAGAAGCCTGTGGACGGAGTTGTGGAAGGCATGAACCCATCCCTTGGCGGCTGGATTTGCCAGCCCCGTCTCTCAGCACACCACCTTGGTTCCATATTCAGACCACTTCCCGCACAATAATGGAGCTGTTAACATGTACACTCCAGGCCATGGTCGGGCGGAGCCTTCCACTTCTAGGGGAAATAAGTGCAGAATCCGAGGCTCCTCGGATTAGAGGAATCCACCTGGGCCCCAGTGGAGAGGAGGAGGTCGAGCCTCTCCCCTTATTCAGTGCCCCCCTCTTGCTTTTCCCTCAAGTCTCCTCTCTCACCAAGAGGAATGTGGAGTCCGGCCTGGAGAGTCTTAGTCCCCCTCCTGCCTTGTCCTGCCACTCAGTTCATACGTGCTCCAGAGGTCTGCTGAGCTGTGTGCCTGCCCTTGATGCAGCCGCTGAGGCTGAGCCCTGAGCAGAATTCCACCTGCACTCCGTGCCAGAGATCCCACTGGTACATTTCCGGATGACACCTCTTACTCGGTTGGCAGAAAAGAGCATCTCCCCTTCAGGCTCCAGCTGGGTTTGAAGGTGTGTGAGTCTCCTCACATGCATGCCAGTCAGGGTCCCCAAGGGTGGCCGTCCAGGCTGTGGTGGAGGCTTAGGGCACTGCACACGGAGATGTGAGATGGCAATCGTAGGATCATAGTGGTCACAGTAACAGGATGAACTTTAGCCCACCTGGAACACAATTCTGGGTGAACTCGGACAATCTCATGCCCATCTGTCCTCAACCTGTACACCAAGATGTTCTCCTTTTCCCCATACTTTTTCTCATCATCCGTTTCCTCGAAGGATGAAGCCAGAACCCATGTTTGCCAGGTACGGTTGCGTAGGCTGTGGCCACCAGGGTGGCCATGCAAACACTACATGTGGGAATCCAGGGTGCTCAGTTCAGATGATCTAGCATGAATGGCTCCCCTGTGGTTGTGCAATGTTGAAGTCTGGGTCACTACCACGCAGAGCAAGGAACAGAAGGTTGGCAGGGTGTTGGAACTCTCCTGTTTGCCCCACCCCGATCACTACTTCCCCCTTTGCACATCCCTCCAGAAGTAATCACTCTGCTGACTTTTCCAATAATCACTCACTTTCTTTAAAGGATTAATAATTGCCATTTAATAACCCTCACCAAGATATAAAAGTTAGAGGCAGTTAAATGTAAAATTATATTTTTGAAACAATACACACACACATACACACACACACGGAGAGAGCTCAGAAGTTGGCCATTTGACAAACAGTTATAAGGTGATCAAGCCAGGTAACTACTACCCAGGTCATGAATCTGTACATTGCACTTTTAGAGAGTTGCGGTCAGAATGTCTTTCTCTGAAGGAAACCAAATGCACATGATACGTACTGTGTGATTCCATTTATATGACATTCTGGAAAAGGCAAAATTCTAGGAGCAGAAAACAGATTGGTGGTTGCCAGGGTCTGAGGGTTAAGACCAGGTGTTCACTACCAGAGGGCGTGAGGGAACCTGGCGGGGATGGTGATGCTCTATATCTATATATCTTGTGCTGGTGTTTCCACAGCTGTATGCATTTAGAAAATCCCATAGACCTGTGCGTAAGTTATAGCCCAATAGTCTTGACTTTTTAGAAAAAAGAATTGTCAGCAATACATCTTGAAAGGAAACTGACACTTAGTCAATAATTTTGTGACTACTAAGAGCATGTTTCTCTCCCCTAATCTGTTAATGTGGAGAATTATGCCACTGTATTTTCTGAAGGGAAATTAAATTTGTATTTTTGAGATGAAGCTAATATTAGTCATGCCACATTAGGTATTTTCCTTTTTATATCCTGAAGGCTTCCGTGTGCTAAGATTCTGGTTCTGATTTTTGCTTCTGCGTCATGAGCCTGTGATTGATCTGCAATGTTTCTCTAAGTGTCCTTGAAGTATTTGGTATCGAGGTTATGCCAAGCTCACACAGTTGAGTGGAGGATTATTCCTCCTTTTCAATTTTCTGCACGAGTTTGTGTCAAATGGAAGATATGTATTCCTAGGATGTTTTTCAGAATGTGGTGGGGAATCCTGGAGTTTATTCCTGGAAAGCCTTTGACTACTCATATCTTTCTGTAATGATTCTGGAACAGTTCAGGTTGGCTGTTCTTTCTTGTGTCAGTTTTAGCGGGTTTTGTTTCCTAGCGATCGGTGACCTTTTTCTTTGTTTTCAAACTGACTGGAATAAAATGGTCCATAATATCCCCCTTCATCTCAGATTGCATTTGTTTAAATTTCAAAGCCATGGAAGAGTTGCAGGGAAAGCACAAGGAGCACTCATACATATATTCTTCTACTGAATCCTCCAGGTTTTTTTTAGCATTTTCTCACATTTGCATTATCCCTTCCTCCAACCCATTCCCTGTCTTTCTCTCTCTGTGTGTGTGTGTGTGTGTGTGTGTGTGTGCTTGTATTTTCCATTATTTTGTGGAATCATTTGAGATCCATTTGAATCATTAAGATACATCATCCCCAAATACGAGAAAGCATGGTCTTTCACAAAGCCTTAATGCCATCATGACACTCAGGAAATGTAACACTGAAACCACACAATTTTCTACTGTATGATCACATGAAACATTTTCTGATTGTCCCCATGGTCCCGTAGCATCCCTCATAGCTGCTTTCTAACAAAATTCTCTTTCCAACCAAACATCATGCTTCGCACTTAGTTTTCAAGTCTCTTTTGAGACAGGGTTACCCTCTGTTATAATGTGGAACTTTATACTGCAGCCTTGAGCTCCCAGGCTCAAGCTGTCTTCCCCCGCCTCAGCCTCCTGAGTAACTTGGACTACAGGCACGCACCACCATGCCCGGCTAATTTTTAAAATATTTTTTGTAGAGACTTCGTTTCGCTGTGTTGCCCAGGCTGGTCTGGAACTCCTGAGCTCCAACTGGGTCTCCCAAAGTGCTAGGATTACGGGTGTGAGCCATGGTACCCGGCCCGTCAAGTCTCTTCAGTGTCCTTTAAAGTGTGCTTTAAAGCAATGTTTAAAATTTCCTTTAAACCAGTGCAGTTGTTGTCAGGAAGCCCTTGAACGTAGGTTTGTCAAATGGCTTCCTTGTAATTAGACTCAGGTAGGTTTAACATTTTTGGCAGGACTACTCCATAGCAGATGTGCTGTCCTTCTTGGGGCATGACATCAGCAGATTCTCCATGTTGGTTTGTCTTATGACTGGTGATGTTCATCTTGACCATGTGGTCAGGGCGCTGTTCCAGATTACTCCATTGTGAAAGTGCCATCTTCTCTTTGTATTGAATTAGCCATGTGCTGTTACTGCATGAGCACTGTGTGATTATCCAGTCCCCCCACAATATCCTCTTTGTATCTTTTGGATGTCTGCATATGATATGATTTGGATCTGTGTCCCCAGCAAGTCTCATGTCAAATCGTAACTTCTAATGTTAGAGGTGGGACCTGGTGGGAGGTGACTGTATCATGGGGCTGAATCTTCAGGAATGGTTTAGCAGCATCCACTTGGTGCTGTCCTCACAGTGGCGAGTGAGTTCTCATGAGTCTGATTGTTTAAAGGTGTGTGACACCGCCACCTGCTCTCTCTCTTGCTCCTGCTCCTAGCATGTAACAAGTACCTGCTCTTGTTTCGCCTTCTACCATGATAGTAAGCTTCCTGAGTCCTCCCAGAAGCAGAAGCCGCTACACTTCCTGTACAACCTGCAGAACCCTGAGCTCTTTTCTGTATAAATGGCTCAGTCTTAGGTATTTCTTTATAGCAGCACGAGAGCGGACGTAATATGGTTTGTGCTTGTTTCTCCCTTTTCTTTCCTGATAGCAGTGCTCTTCCCCCTTATTTTCTTAACCAGTCTCAAAAGAGTTTTACCAATTTCATTCTTCTTCCAAACACCCAACTTCTGGTTTTGTGATTCTTATGCTTGTTTCCCCTTTCACTGATTTCTGCTTTTACTTTGATTATTTCCTTCTACTTTAGTTGGTCTTATCTTGTAACTTTTTCTCATTAATTGTATGCTGTCCTATTTCACATGGTTTGGCTGTGTCCCCACCCAAATCTCATCTTGAATTGTATTTCCCAGATTCCCATGTCTTGTGGGAGGGACCCAGGTGAAGGTAATTGAATCATGGGTGCCGGTCCTTCTCATGCTATTCTCGTGATAATGAATAAGTCTCATGAGATCTAATGAGTTTATCAGTAGTTTCCACTTCTGCTTCTTCCTCCTTTTCTCTTGCCGCCACCACATAAGAAACGTCTTTCACCTTCCACCATGATTCTGAGGCCTCCCCAGCCATGTGGAACTGTAAGTCCAATTAAACCTCTTTTTCTTCCCAGTCTTGGTATGTGTTTATCAGCAGTGTAAAAACTGACTAATCTACTAAATTGGTACCAGTAGAGTGGGGCATTGCTGAAAAGATACCTGAAGATGTGGTAGCAACTTTGGAACTGGGTAACAGGCAGATATTGAAAGAGTTTTGAGGCCTCAGAAGAAGACAGGAAAATGTGGGAACATTTGGAACCTCCTAGAGACTTGTTGAATGGATTTGCCCAAAATGCTGATAGTGATATGGACAATAAGGTCCAGGCTGAGGTAGTCTCAGATGGAGATGAGGAACTTGTTGGGAACTGGAGTAAAGGTAACTCTTGTTAGGTTTTAGTAAAGAGACTGGTGTCATTTTGCCCAGGCTCTAGAGATTTGTGGAACTTTGAACTTGAGAGAGATGATTTAGGGTATCTGGTGGAAGAAATTTCTAAGCAGCAAAGGATTCAAAGGGTGACTTGGGTGCTGTTAAAAGCATTCGGTTTTAAAAGAGAAACAGAGCATAAAAGTTCAGAAAATTTGCAGCCTGACAATGCGGTAGAAAACAAAATCCGATTTTTTGAGGAGAAATTCAAGCCAACTGCAGAAATTTGCATAAGGAGCAATGAGCCTAATGCTAATCCCCAAGACCCTGGGGAAAATGTCTCCAGGCCATGTCATAGACCTCCAAGGCAGCCCCTCCCATCCCAGGCCTGGAGGCCCATGAAAGTGGTTTCATGTGCCGGGCCCAGGGTTTCCATGAAGTGTGCAGCTAGAGACTTGGTGCCCTGTGTCTCAGCCACTCCAGCCATGGCTGAAAGGGGCCAACATAGAGCTCAGGCTGTGGCTTCAAAGGATGGAAGTCCCAAGCTTGGCAGCTTCCATCAGGTATTGAGCCTGCGGCTACACAGAAGTCAAGAATTTAGGTTTGGGAACCTCTGCCTAGATTTCAGAAGATGTATGGAAATACCTGGATGTCCAGGCAAAAGTTTGCTGCAGGGGTGGAGCCCTTATGGAGAACCTCTGCTAGGGCAGTGCAGAAGGGAAAAGTGGTGTCGGAGTCCCCACACAGAATCCCTACTGGGGGACTGCCTAGTGGAGCTGTGAGAAGAGGGCCACTGTCCTCTAGACCCCAG